TAGTATCAAGGTTGGAATAAACTCTACAAGAGCATAGTAGTTTAATGATATACTCTGATTATTAGTGTTAGTCTTGACCATAGCAATATCAGATCAGCTGTAAGAATGGAATACAAAAGATTCTGAAAGGTTTAGTACAAGGTTAAAGATTTTAAAAAACTGCTTTAAAAACTTAGTAGTTATAGCATATTTTTATTAACATTGGCCAGGATTATTGGTAGGCAGAGATAGGTGAGTAGATATAGAAACTGGTTAAATAAGAAACCTACAAGCAGGTTTCAGGTATGGCAGTTAGTATAGAACCTTTAGGTGGACTACTTAAATTAGACAATAACTAAAGTTGTATAAGTAACTAGTTGTATATTCTTTTCATAATTGCCTTCTATAGTTGTAATGCAACTATTAGCCAAATATACTATCAATAAAATTCTAAGTTACAAGTACTTATCTTAATATTTAAAAAAAAAATTTTATTATGTGTTTTAGCTATCAGCTTATATTTTTGCACTTTGGAATAAGTTCTTTCTTTTCTGTATACTTTATGTTTATTTGGTTGTACTATTTTGATGTATATGTTTGCCTATTTGCTTTGTTTGTTTTGTTTGTTTTTTGTACAACTTAAGTAATCTGCATAACAATGTTACATCTGTTTGTTAAAAACCAAATTTTTCTATTAAAAGTTTATTTTTGTTTTTTCATTATGTTATTTATAAACTTTTTTTTATGTTTTTGTTTTTAGTTATATATAACTTTTGCTACTCTATCTTTTTTGTTATAGGCTAAAGTGTTGTTTACTAGTGTGTTTCTGTGTTGTTTTCTGTTTTTGCTTCTTGATAAATTTTGTTAAGAATATGCAAAAGAGAGTTATATTTGTTCTTAAATTCAATATATCAAAAACAGATTATAGTTTTTTTAACCTATTTAAATTTGAAATCTAAAAACAAAATAAAAATATATTAAAAGTACTAAAGATATATTATAAAATTAATATTAAAGAAATTGGTGATCCTAGTGTAGTAATTGAGTTATTATTTCTCAAATAGCAGGTCTAAGGTTCAAATTTCATCTATGATGAAATTTGGAAATTATATCTGCATTACAGTAACTGTCTTTTGTTGATCAGTTGACCTTATATAGTTGTAACTTAGGTACACTAAGTTAGTTCTACTAATATTAGAAGCTTAAAGCATTTATATAAAGTGTAATGTTATATATACATAGAGAAATATATAACTGGTATTGCATAAGACTTTAGTGCAAACCTATAATAAAACCCTAGACCTAGAAGACTAAAGAACCAAGATAACAAAAATCCATTTAAAAATTCCTAAGTAAAGAGGTAGCATGAACTTTTGACCATATCATCAGACTGGTTAAAGCTATAAAACACCTTCATATGAACTAAAGGTTAAACTAAATATCAAATATGTATAAAGGAGCATATAACCAACCAGGCCACCAAACTTGCTAAAAAAAAAGAATACAAAAGTATACTATACTGAGCTATCTGGATTGGTAGTCTAAAAGAGACTGCTAGTTCTGAGTTGTAGTTAGTAAGAAATAATGAAGAAAATGCTAAGAAGATAGGTGCTAGAGTTCTAGTGAACTTTACAAAGGTAAAAATAATATAATATAGTAGTTAAACAGATAACTTCTGTAACTGCAAGTGTTAGATAACTATATTATATTGCATAAAACTAGGTTAGTATATGTAAAACTTATAGGCTCTAGTAAGTTTTTGGTCAAGAATAAAGTAGTTCTAAGGGTACTGATTAGCATTGGGAACTTGGATAAGTGTAGCCTTAAAGATGTTCTTATAATACAAAGAGGATTGCATATGCAGAGAGTTTAAATAGACAAGATCTTTAGTTGGCTTGCAGGTATAGTATCTAGTATAGAACTTATATAGTAATATATAAGCAGACTACTTAAATTAGGCACCAAAAGTATATGTGTAACTAGTTGTAATCTTCAATATAAGATAGCCCCTAATGGCATACTATGTTCTATATACTTAAATAAAAATATTACATTCTGAAGATAAAAACTTTAATTTAAAAAAAAAACTTTAATATTAAGTTTAAGTAAACTTTATACAAACATAATCTTATTTAATATTTTATAAAATAAATAAATTAGTTAACAAAAAAATATCTAAAACCTTATAATTAAATAATATATTTTAAAATAAATAACAAATTAATAGATATACTTAAAAGAAAGTTATTATTAAGTTAAATGATACTTAAATATACAAAAACTTTGATATTATTCATTTAGTATAATATAAAACTAAAATATTTAAATAAGTAATCTTCTAACAAATTATAAATATAATATCTAATATGAAATTTTTAAATAAATTACTTAAGTAAATAATCAAAAGTTAAAGATGTTTAAAGTGAAAGTAAACTATATGATTAAAAGCCAATTAAATTATAGAATTTTAATAATAATTGGTAAAACTGTGATGAGAACAGGATCATGATTGTATTGCAAGATAAGCGATGTTTATTAAGCAGACTAAAGATTCATTTCTTTACAAAATACTTATTTATATTAATCCTAATAACTAACTTATGACTATATTTTTAATGTGCATTAATTAATTAACCTATAACTAACTTTACTATATTTTTAATATGCATTAATTAATTAACCTATGATGCACTGCTTGCTTGATTATTTGAATCGTGATCATGTGATCATGGTGTGAGTAATTAAACAAATGAACTCCATCGATCATGAGATCACGAAATCATCGGTCACGATCATTAGTCATATGATGTTCGATTACGATCATAACAGTATCTCTCCCCTTAAGCCACTTCTTTCAGTTTGTGAGAATATTATTGATGAAATTCATCTACAGCTTTTTGTGCATTAACTATGTTCTTTTTAGGCTCCCAGAATCTTTCCTCAACCCCATACCCCTTCTAGTTAACTAGGTAATATAACTTCTTCTGAAAGATTTTAGAGTCAATTATTTCATTGACTTCGTACTCAGTTTTCCTATTAACTATTACTGAAGAAGGTGGTCCTGGCTTCCTTCTGGAATTGTGCTATGAGTGTAAGGCTCCAATAATGATGCATGGTATGTATTGTGAATTTTGAGTGTAGGTGGTAAAGATAAATGGTACATAACCAGGTTGACTTGGGCTGATATAGTATATAGCCCTAATCGGTAGTAGTCCAACTTTTCAGAGGGTCTCATGGTATAAATGTTCCTTCATAGCAACCAAACTTTATCTCCAATTTGGTATAGTGGGTGCTCTTGTCAATGCTGATCTGCATTTTTCTTATACTGTTTTTGGGAAATTGATAGTTCATCATAAAGGGTTTGTGTAATTTGTTGTAGTTCAGCAATTTTATTTTCTGCTGCAGAGACTGATGACCGATTGGGTTTTTGAATATCGAACTGAGGGTTGAATCTGTAATTTGCAAAAAATGGCATGGACTTGGTTGATGCATGAATAGAATTATTATACACAAACTCAGCAAAGGCAAGTAGATCCGCCCAGTTATCTTGATGATAGTTAACAGTACACCTTAAGTATTGTTCTAATACCTAATTTACCTGTTCACTTTGTCCATCCGACTGAGGATGATAGGCTAAGGATAAACTAATATTGGTTTCCAGAAGTTTGAACAAACACTTCCAAAATTTAGAAGCGAATTGGGGGCCCTGATCCGAAACAATATCTTCTGGGATACTATGAAGGCAAATAATTTCCCAAAAGACCAAGTGAGCTGTTTGTTCAGCAGTGATGTCCTTATTACAAGCTATAAAGTGTATCATTTTAGAAAACCTATTTACTATAACTAGGATAGAATTATAACTAGATGAAAAGGGTAGGTCAGTGATAAAATCCATAAAGATTGATTGCCACTGACATGTAGGAATGGGTAATAGTAGTAATAGCCCATGGCTCTTGTGCTTAGGCAGTTTTGATCTGGCACATGTATCACAAGATTTTATATATTCTCTTATAAATTTTCTCATTTGTGGTCACCAATAGTCACGAGATAATAACTCAAGAGTCTTAGCTATACTAAAATGTCCTGCTAGTTTTGAGTTATGCTTCGATTAAAGCAATTTAAGCCTTTCTGCATTTTTAGGTACATATAACAATCCATCTCTAAATAGTAGGCCATCTTGGTAGGAGAATCTATGACAATCTTCACTTGAGCTTGGACCTAATTGAAGAAGTTGAGCTAGTATGCTTTTTGCGAATAGGTCTGACTTTAACTGAGAATGGATCCTATTCCTCAAGGTATGGTCTATTAGGGTGATAAAAGTAGCATCCAGATAGGCCTTTTTGAATAAGATGATTCGTTGTGGTATAAGCTCTCTTTCCTCATAGGGATGATAGTCTAACCTGTGTGATAATGTGTCTGATTTTTCTTATTCTTTTTCAGGTTGAAAATGTATTACGAAGTCATAATCTGAGAGCTGAAGCACCCAACAAGCTTGATGACAGTTGAGAATCTTAGCAGTGGTAAAATATTGAAGGTTTTTATGATCACAATATATCGTAAGCTAATGTTGGGCTCCTTCTAGATATTGGTGCCAGTGTTTTAACGCTAAAACAATTACTAACAATTCTTTGTCATATACATCATAGTTAATTTCGATTGGAGTGAATTTTTTGAAATAGTATGCCACAGGGTGTAGTTCTTCGTCATCTTGGTATTAGGACAGAACTGCTCTCAGAGCATAGTCAAAAGCATCTGTTTCAATGTAATATAGTTTTTTGGAGTTTGCATATGCTAAGAGTAGTGAAGATGTGAAAGCTTTCTTCAATAAGTCAAAGGCTTGTTGCGCAAAAGAAGACCAATGGAGTACTTTGTTAGCTTTTCAGGTTAGGTTAGTTAAAAAAGTGACGAGTTGAGAATAGTCCTTTATAAAATGTTGGTTATAATTTGTGAAGCCCAAGAACCGTAGTATGTCTCTAATGGTTTCCGGTATTAGCCATGACAAAATAGCTTCTACCTTTCCTTTATCCATTTGGATCCCCTTTTGGATAATGTGGTATCCTAAGAAATTGACCTCATCCCGATCAAATTTACATTTTTCCAGTTTTGCATACAGTCCAAACTGCTAAAGCCGTCCCAAAACAAGCTTTACATGATCATCATGCTGCTCCTGATTTGGAGAATAAACCAGAATATTATCTAAGTAATAACAAAATTATCCAAGAAGTCTTGAAATATATTATTCATCATGTGTTGGAAGACTGCTGGAGTGTTTGTTAGCCCGAAAGGCATAACCATATATTTGAAGTACTCATAACGGATGCAAAAAGCAGTTTTTTATTTGTCGCCAAGGCGAATGTGAACTAAGTTATAAGCTTTCTTGAGGTCAATTTTTGTGAATTTTGTTGCAGCAGCTAGTCAGTCCAATAATTCAGGAATAAAAGGTAAAGGATATCTATTTTTAATAGTAATTTTATTCAGGCCTCTAAAGTCCATACAGAGATGCAGTGAACTGTCCTTCTTTTTAACAAAGAGAATGGGGGCCCCAGCTGGGGATTTTGAGTATCTAATAAACCTCTTCTCTAAATGTTTTTCAATATACTGCTTAAGTGTTTTTAATTCCTGCTCTGACAGTCCATAAATAGGTCTCTATGGAGGTTGGGCATTAGAAATTAAATCGATGGCACAGTCATACGGCCTGTTTTTTAGCAGCTTATCCACCTCCTTTTTGCTAAATATGTCACTAAATTCTTGATATTTCTTTGGAACAGATGCTTGAATGGTGAAGGTTTATAAGACTGCTGCTGGAAACACCTGCACCATGTATAATCATTCTTGATTTTTATTATTTTTTGGGAATACCTTAATAGTTAAGTATTCCTTTGAGTGATTACTACAGAAAGGGTCTGAGAAGGTAAGAGAACGTTCCTTCCAATCAATTTTGGGATTGTGTTTTATCAGCTAAGGCAGACCCAAAATGATATGATAATAAGGTGAGAGTATAAGGTTAAAAGAAAGTTCCTTTTTATAGTCTTGCAACCAGAGTTGTAGAGATTTTGTTTCATGAGTTACTGCCCTGAACTCAACTTCTCTTTCATCAATGACTTTTACTGAAAGAGGTGTAGGCTTTTTAATTATAAGTATAGAATGTTCTTGAGCCAGAGTGGTATCTAGGAAACAAGACGATGCTCCTGAATCAATTAGAGCCGTGGTTAATAAATTAGCTCTGTTTGGAAACTGTAGTTTTATTAAAAAAGTAAGGGCCTTAGTGGAGTCAACTGCTATTAATGCTTTGGAGATATTGGTGTGTACTTTATCCAGCTGTAACTCCCCTATTGTGACTGGGGTTCCTCTTTTCCTGAACTTTCTTGGGTCACAGCTATAGCATCGATTCTATGCTGTCTGCTATTATCCTTTTTGGGGCATCTTCTGACTATGTATCCTGAGTCTCCACAATACAAACATAGGTTATTGGCATGATGTCGTCTTTTCTCTTCTTCAGACAAAGGTTTCAGCCTGGCAAAATCGATCTGCATCAGCTCTGGAACTTGAATTTGATTGACAGTAGATACTGGGGATTGATTCCAACTTATACCAGAATCAAAGTGTTGTTCTTGTTATCATTCGAAAGGTTTGTTGTCACATCTTACAGCTCTCATGATTGCATTATTAAGGGAGGTAGGGTCTGGCATTGTAAGAAGTAAATCCTTTATGTCTCCACGAAGCCCAGTTCGAAATTGATCAATTAACACTGTCTTATCCTAGTCCAAATTGCCTAAAATTTGTTGAAATTCAGAGGCATAACTAGCTGCAAATTTGGGGCCCTAGGTAAGTTTACGAATTTTGTTTGTGGCTGTTCTTGTCTTATCTGAATCTCCAAAAGTTGCCTCAAACACTTCAACAAAGTCATCAAAATTTTCAAGTAGGGGTAAGGACTTCTCTAATAGGGGCACAAACTACACCAGGACTGAACCTGTCAACAGACTTCTAATCAAGCCAACTTGGGTTGCATCATTTGGATAGCATTGTGGCTGCAGCTGTATAATAAGATGTATTTGGTTTAAGAACCCACAAAAATTCATGCATGATTCGTCGAACTTGTCAGATAGACTTATTTTAGGCATTGTTTGCTTAAAATCATTAGGGTTCTAAGTGGCTAATTGGTCAATCATAATACGTAAGGCTTCATTTTCTTGATGAAGGGCCTGATTATCTCATTGAACTTGCTGTAGTGCTGCTACAATAGTGTTAAGGTCATATTGGTCTTGTAGATCATCCATGTTGAGGATTTTTTATTTTATTATTATTTATTTATATATATATATATATATATATATTTTTTTTTCTAGTTGCAAGAACAGGTTAGAAGGGCCAGGATAAATTAGTCTGCTTAAAACTGTAATGAGAATGGGATCATGATTGTATTGCAAGGTAAGTAACATTTATTAAGCAGACTAAAGATTTATTTCTTTACAAAATACTTATTTATACTAATCCTAATAACTAACTTATGACTATATTTTTAATGCACATTAATTAATTAACCTATAACTAACTTTACTATATTTTTAATGCACATTAATTAATTAACCTATAATGCACTGCTTGCTTAATTATTTGAATTGTGATCATGTGATCATGGTGTAAGTAATTAAATGAACAAACTCCATCGATCATGAGATCATGAGATCATCAGTCACGATCGTTGGTCATGTAATGTTCGATTACGATCGTGACAAAAACAAAACAAAAAATAAAAGCCAAAAATCTAAAAAATAAAAAAAATAACAGTTTAAACTTTCTTTGAATAAGTTAATTAAAAATGCTAAGAAGGCAATTTTATATATATATAATTATTTAAACTTAAACTAACTGATATAGAAAATTTTAATTTTAAAGTTAATTGAAAACTTTATTAAATATAAGTTGCTTTTGCTTTAAACATTTTTTAAAAGTTGTATAAGTAGTTATATATTTATTTTTATACAAGTTATATAATATAAGATAAGTATAAATATTATAATATAGTATTTATAATCAACTCTTCCTAACAATCACTCTGACAAAATCAGTAAGAAAGAAAATCAAGTTTTTTTAAGAAAACCAATAAAAAACTATCTAAACAGTACTAAGCTAAAAGAAGCAGCAACAAAAAGTGCATTAAATAATTTTAGAAACCAAAAGAAACATAATAATATTAGAGTAGTTATAAAAGAAAAGCAAGGTGTTTTGAAAAATTTTAGCATTGAAATGACAATTGTGGAGATTTCCATCTGACCCTGAAAGTAGATCTGTTTACATTGCACAAAGTTATATAACATATTAAATAACAACAACAAACATGTGCAAATGGCCATATACAAAATAGATGAACCAATATACAGCAATAAAATAGAAGAACATTCTAGAAAAGAACAGATTTAGTAATAGATAAAAGTTTGCCCGAAGAGTATAGAGGAAATATAAAAGCAATCTGTATAAAAAGAGCTTACTGGGTATTAAGCAATGTACATAATAAGCACTTCTTTAATAAAGCAAGCAATACATATATAGTGTCAGATAGAGAAGATGAGATTGTTGCAATGCTCACTAGACAGATACAAATAAAGTAGCTTTTTTATAAATAGTAAGAGAGATAGTAAAAAAAGCTGAAAAAGAACAATCAGAGAAAAAAATTAAATTTAGTAAAGTAAATGCAAGAGGTAGTACTAAAAGAAAGAAAAGAAATTCAACACCAGAGTAGAGAACTGCAAGAAGATACTTTAACTGTTCAAAGAAAAGAAAATGCAAAGGTAAGTTTTACAAACAGCAGACAAATAGAAACACAGCTACTTATTCAAGAAAAGAAAGTCAAAGAACAGCTAGAAGAGCAAAAACAAAGGTTAACAAAGGCAGTCAAAGATGCAATGCAAGATGTAATTAAAGATAAAGCAACAGAACAGAAAAGAAATCCAAAAATCAAAAAAAAAATTGACATAGTTGGAATACTACTCAAGGACAGCATGTGGGTGCCAAATAGAAGAAACTGTAGTCAAAATAATAGCTTATTTGCTAATATACCAGCATACAATATGCCAGGTATAATACAAGAAGAATGTATAAAGTTTATCAAATGGTTACTAAAAGAAAATGAACATGTCAAAAAAATCAAAAAAGTTTTTAAAAGAGGAAACTTGTGGATTGAAGTAGACTTTGATTGTGAATATGATAGAAATGAAGGAATACAAAGAATTAGCAGAAAGAAAAGTGATTAGTACAAACTAATACCAGAAGAAAGAGTGAACAAAAAAGAAAAACAAAAAGTTCATATTGAAGAACAGCACAAAAGAAGTAACAATATAATGAAAACTAAAAAGAAGACAAATAATAAGGAAAATAATAAGATCAAAGCAGATATAAATTACAATAAAATTAATGAGAAGCTAGATGGCAGTAAAAGATTAACAATATGGGACTTGCCATTAGATATTAACAAAAAAGAGCTAAAATATATTTGTAGAAGTTTTAAAAGTGCCCAAATTGTAAGAATCAAAAGATCAAAATACAAAGCACTAATGATAGTATAACTAGAAGAACCCAAAAAGGTAGACATTTCTTGGGCTATATCAGTCAACAATAACAAACTGGTATGAGTAACTAGAGGAGAAGAGAACTATAAAGCAAGAGAAAACCAAAGGAAATACATAACAAAGTTGACAGACTTACCCAAAAATGTCTCAGAAGTTCTTCTGTTACAATGCCTAAGAAGTAAAGGAGTAAAATCAGTTTACATTTTACCAAACAGAAATGAAAACCAAAGAAGAACAGCAATAATAATGTTTGCAACAGAAGAAAAAATAAATGCAGCTTAAACAAAACTGATTTTGTACAATAACTTTCGAGTATATTGGGTAAATGAAGGAAAAAGAATAACAAAAAGAAGAGAAAGTATTAAAGAAAAGAGAGAAAAAAGCAAGAACAGATGCAGTCAATTCTCTATTAAAAAAGAGGACACAAACAGCAAAGAAAGACAAAGAAATAAAACTTTTATAAATAAAAACAGAATTTAAGATAACTCAAGTTGAGGATTTAAGTCATCGAAAGAAAGAAATAACATCCAGAATTAACATAGATTAAATCAGACAAAAAATATAGATGCAAGGGAAAAGGAAAAGAAAGACCCAAAAAGTAGATCAGAAAATCTTAAGGCACAAAAGCAGCTAATAAATATATATATAAAGTGAAATTGATATGATATTTATTACTAATAAACCCAAACTTATTAAAGAATTTACAAGATACAAATCCAAGCTTTAATTACAGCTAACAAACCTAAACACATTATAAGAACTAACAAATTTAAATATTAAACCTGAATTTTTGATTATTAAAGAAGCTTGTATATATTCAAATCAAACAGTTAATAATAAAAGTTTATCAAAATTTAATGCAATAAAGAAGCTTAAGTAAAAAAGCATTTTCAGTTACTTTACTCTACAGTATAACTTTGCACAGAACAGTATATTTTGTCTTTTAAGTAAAGTTTGTCATTTTTGAGATTATTTATTAGTAAAATATTACAATCTCAAAAAGTACTCTAAAATGTATAAATAAGTTACCTGAGTAATTAATTTACATTAGCCAATCAAATAAATGTCTAACTATAAGCATGGACATATACATTGGACAATATTCATTGAACAATGTTTGCTAGATGTCCAATGTCCACCACATTTATGTGGACAATGTTCAATGACAATCTTTACTTTTGGACATATAGTAGACATAGACATTGGACAATGTCTAAATATATTCATATCCAAATCAATATATGTAGACAGCATTTATATACAACACTAACCAAGGCTATTGCTAAGTATAAGTAGACAGGTGAATACAAAAACTAAAATATTTAAATAGAAAACTTACAAACAGGTTTTAAATATGAAAACTGTAGAAACTTTAAGTAAACTATTTAAATTAGATAATAACTAAAATTGTACAAGTGACTATTTGTATATTTTTTTTATAATTGCCTTCTGTAATTGTAATGCAATTATTATTAACTAAACATACTATTAATAAAATTCTAGGTTGTAAGTACTCACCTTAATATTAAAAAAAAAATAAAGATAATCTATTATTTGTAAATTTACCTTGTATTATTACAAACAACATGTGACCAGAATTTTTTTGTTCTAAAATGATTTTATGATGAAGAGTCTATGAATAGTTCTTATAGACAGTTAGAGACAATGCAATTCATGTAATATTACTAAAACATAAGCATGTCTACAGATATGTACCAAATTATATAATTTTGCATATATGATTATATTATATGATCAAATATATAGTAAAACAAAGAAAAGAAATTTATTTTATATAATTTTTAAATAAGTATAGTATTTATTATCAGTTATATTCATATAAATATTTGCCTCTTTTTATACATATCTTATCTGTTAGTAAAAATATATGCAGAGCTTTATTATTTCATTAGATTTCACAAGTCATATAACATTTGAATTATAATCAAAATAACTGAGCCTATCATGCTTAGAGTAAATGATGAGTTTGAATTCTTAAAAGCTTTTGAGAACATTGCTTAATTAGTAGCAAAAAAACAGGAATTTGCCTTCTTAAGAAAAGATAGTAATCTTACTAGATGCAATAAAAAATTTTTTTTTGTTGTTCTGCAATGTACTAAAAGTAAAGAATAGTACAACTATTAAAATATTACAAAGAAAACTCATAAGAGAAAGAAAAAAACTAAGCATGAGGATTGTCCTATATATATTAGAGCTATTGCAACAAAATGTCAATTTATTGCAGATGCTTAAATACTAAAATAAAGTAAATTATCATAAAAGTGATACTTGAGCATAATCATACTAAGCTTAAGTTTAATAAAGTTATAACTTTTCCTTAGCATTATGCTATAAACCTATGCTAAAAAATTCTTGTAAAACAGCTGCATAATAGTAATGCATCTACTTGTATAATTATAACAGTCATTAACAAGATTAGTAATAATAAAATAATTCTCTTAAAAAATATAGTAAATGAATATGCTTGTATTAGACTCACTTTAAATAAAGGTTATAATAATAATTTTACTCAAATATTACTAAAACTTCTTAAAGAGTATAATTATATAGTTGTTTCTTATAAAATAATAAAAAAGCATTTAACTCATCTTTTCTTTTTTTATATTAAAACTGCTAAGTGTATTGCAAAATATTTCAAAGTCTTAATTGTAAACTCTATATATAGAACAAATATTTATAAATATCTGCTTGTTAGTGCAATTAGTATTAATAATATTAGTAAATGAGAAAGATGTTTTAGCAACTTATCAAATCACAATGACCTGAATTAAAGATAAAAGCAAAGCATTATATACATGGTTTCTTCAAACACTTCATACCAAAATTTATGATATCTATGGATGCTTATTAGAAGTCTTTATGTCTGACAGAGACCAAGTATTAAGAAACACCTTATCTAAAGTATTTTCAATATCAGATAAAATGTTATATGTTTGGCATCTTTTGGAACAAAACTTAAAAGTTAATTGTTGAATATTTTTTAAAACTAATAATAATTATGAGGCATTCAAGAAAGAGGTTGAATCTTTACAGTTTACAGAAATTGAAGAAAAGATTTTTCAGTTCTTTGATACAATTAAAAAGGCTGCAAGAAAAGCAAATACTTTTAAAAAAATAGTATTATATATACAAACATAAATGAAAGATTCAAGAATGTGGATATTAGCATATACTAAGTGATACTGTTACATAAAAATATTAACTACTGAATGATCTGAATTATCATACAATGCATTTAAACAATCAATTGAAACTGCTAGTAATTTGAAAAATGTATTTTATCAAATTGATCAGATAATGTATTTTTAACATTTAAAGATAGCAAAAAGTACAGATTCTAATAAGTAGCTATTAATCTGTTACTTTTTATAATTCTAGATTTAGTGAATTCATTAGAAATATATTAATATAAGTAATTAAACATATAAAAAAAATATTACAAAAAAACAAATCGCATACAAAAATATCAATAATTGTAAGTGCTTAACTAAAATTAATTACAAGTTAAAGGATGTGGCGACTTAGTAAAGTGGATAAGTTGTCAACCCTTCAAGTGGTAGGTTGGAAGTTCAAAACCCACTGATGGCAAAAATTTAGAAAACCACCTATGTTACATCAGTGTATACGAGCATCTGTGCAATGCTAGAGTTACACAGAGGAATGCAAACCGGCATTGGGCAGTGCAAACACAAGATAAGTCCTTGAAACTGGTATTACAGTGATGGCTATTTATTGATTAGTTGAGATCAGTACCTGTAACACAGTCACACCAGATAACTGGCAGGTCATGGGGCATCTGTGGCCATGTAAATCCATAAACTGGGATAACCGAAAGCCCACTTGGAAAGACCCAAGTAGAGAGGTAATACAGATCTTTGACAGTACTACTATAAAGGCTAGACCTAGGAAACAGATACCAATGTAGAAGGAATCGGGTAGGCAAGAACCTCAGGTAAGGGGTACCACCAATCAGGCTGCCAGAAGTCTCAAACCAGAGGAAAAGAACCTTGAGAGGCAGACCTTGAGATACCAAGAACAGGTCACAGTTCTACCAGGCTATCTGGATTGGGAGTCTGAGGTCAGAAACAGTAGTATATTAAAGTACTAGGGATATGCTGTGAAGTTAGTGCTGAGGTTTGGGTGAACTCTGCAAGGGTGAGCCCTGTTAACAAGATACTAAACGTGAGTAGTTAGTTAGCAGAGGGGCCTCCTGAAGCCCTATAGTTAGGTAATGTACTCTGAAATGTGTAACAGCTTAACAAATGTACAGACAGGAAGGTCATGATTAGGTTAGACAGCACTTAGGTGTACAGGAACTTGTGTGCTATTTGTCAGTGTAAGTATAGGGATCAGAGTATTTAAATAGGTAATCTCCTAGTAGATTGCAGGTATGGCAGCTAGTGTAGAACCTGCTGTGTGAGTGGACTACTTAAATTAGACAACCGAAAGTTGTACATATGGCTAGTTGTATACTCACCTTGTACAAGTTATGTAATCATAATTAAAATACAATAAAGGCAATAGCCGCTGATAACTATGGCCTTAGCAAAAGCAAAAAAAAAAAAAAAAAAAAAAAATTTAATAACAAGTTATCTTGCCAATATATAATCCTAATAAATAGCCCAATTCCTTTATCAATAATTAACAAGAGGTGGCTTCTCAAGAGGCCAGATATTATAGAAATTCTATTTTCTTTAAAGTTTATAAACTCTGAATTTTATAATTTATTTATTAATGCTGAAGAAAGGTTTCAACAATTGTCAGACAATATTACCAGAGTTGAATTTATTACAAGAATTCATCAAGTAACAAACATATTATTATCTGAGCCTATCAAGCTATTACAAAAACTGTACCTAAATCAAACACTAAACACAGATCATTTCAAAGTAAATATCAAGATTTTGCTATCAAAAAAAAGAAAAGAATGCTAAACAACATCACAAAACTTAAAAACAAAACTATCCAGCAATATAATATATCTATAAAACAGACTTTTATAATATTACAACCTTCTGATTATAAGTTATATTAGACAAATCTTTCAAAATTTATATATGAACAGTTTTAGTATATAATGATGTAATAGGAGATAATAATTGTAGTTTTTGTATTGTTGCTATATCAATTAGAAAATCAGAAGACTACTGGTCTAAGGTTGAAAACTTATTTACAATAAACTTTGTGTTCATAAATCTTATTATATTCAACTGTTTTTGAAAAAAAAAATATATAATGAAATATTATTTACAACACAATGAAATGTTAACTCCTGTAATAAAGACTATTGAATGTCAATGCCATTTTTTAGATATGCTATTATTAACACTTTTTAATAACCTATTCATTATTTTAGCAAGTATCTTTTACTTATATTCCTTTCTAATAACATACTATTAAATCAAAATACATCAATTTCTTTTATATATATTCATGAAAGATAGCACTTTATGACTATTAAATTCAAGCTGAATGTGCCTGTTCCTCCTATTACAAACAGTTATAAAAACTTATACATTGAATATTGCAAAATGTAAAAAACTTTATTTCTAGAAAAAATAGCTTATTTTAAAAAAAAATATAAAGAACAAAAAAAAAAATAGAATATGAATTATAATTATTTGCAAATAAAAATTTAGTAATAATATATATTAAAGTTTTTTGTGATGTTAAAAGAATTGCTACTTTTTTAATGCTTTTATATAGAAATAAATTTAAGCTTATATAATATATATGAGTAGTTACCTTAAAAGTAAATGTTTTGTTATAAATTTTCTTTATTAACTTGCTTTTGTATTACTAAAAGAACAAGTTAAGTAATATCTATATTGTATAAATAATCAATATATTTGATCACATAATATAATCATACATGCAAAATCATGTGTTTTGATATATGCCTGTAGATCAGAGATAGTGAATAATATCAATTTAATTTTACAAAAATATTGATTAATTTAATTAAAAATATCAATTTATATTGATATTTTTGGTTTAACCAATCATAATGAAGTATTATATGCAATGTGATTAGAATTTGAAAAGACTATATTTTTTATAAACTAAGATTATTACTGCACCAATCAAACTTATAATAATTTTTATTTACTAAAATTCTATTAATATGCCCTTAAAATAATTGATTAAAATACATTATTGTAAGAACTTAAAATGATTCTTTACTAAGTTTTTGTCTATTATTACTTAAAATTTTGTTATATATAGAAAAGCTTTGCTCTATACTGCAAGAAGTTATAGGTGACCAAATATAATCTAATGTAATTTCACTTAATAAAGGTAACTGATAAGAGACTTTAGTTCAAAATTCATCTAAAGTTTGAAACTCAATTGTAGCAAAATTAAAGTTACAATAAATTATCTATTCTTGAATTAGATTCATTAAAGGATTTGACAATTCATAAATATAAGAATATAATAAAATATTATAATTAATAATAGAAAACATAATAAAATAAGGATCAAAAATTTATACTTTTTGAAATAAGAGTTATGCAAGATAATTTCTAATATGATCATCAAACTTATTATATGCAGCCTGATAAGCAAATTAAAATATAGAAAAAAATAAATCTGATTATGTATTAAGTTTAAGAAATACATCAAACATTGGTTGACTTAATGTTGTCAATGATTTTTCTATATTAATTGCATTTTTCAATTGCTCAATATGACTTTTGATAAGTGAAATTACAGACAAATTCTTAGTCTAAAAAAAATCCAAATCATATACAAATTGCTAATCATAATTTTTAATAAATGTCAAATATATATATATATGCTTATAATCTTGTTGATTAGTGAAGATTTTTATGATTTTCTCAATCGATGATGACAAAGTACTTTCTTTTTGCTCTTAAATATAAAAATTCTAAATTAATTGTAAATGTTTTTCTATGTAAAAGGCTATTTTATATCATGCATTCCATTATGTTACACTAGGTAGTAGAATATTAGTTAGTTGCAAAATTCCATTTTAATATAAAAAAGTTATATATTTTGTACATTGACTTTTTGTAAGAGTTAATGTTTTTTTAATTTCTACTAATAACATGTGAATTATAGTAAAATGCTCAATAGACATCTATGCTTCACTAAACATAATTAAAAATATAAATTAAAAAAAAATTAATTTAAATATAAAATTAGGTAATAACTTTATATAACTTAATTATAACTTAATTATTTATTACATTATCTAATTAAATTTAATATATGCATCAAGCAAGTTTGATGCATAATTTGTGACATAATTGGTTTAAGTACTTTATAAACATATTTCTTCATATATGCTGCAGAATCTAATGCAATTAAATATATATTACCAAATAGAATATTCTATTTAATCAAAATACAAACTACTAATTGCTCAATTATCGAATTATTGTCTATTTCTAAAAAATTTACAACTACTAATTTTGTAAAACTATGATAATTAAATAAAATATTAACAACACTTCATGCTTGACTATTAGTAGTTTCATCAACTATTACTGAAATCCTTTTTCTTGAATATATTTGTTTGAGTGTAATTAAATAGGTTTCAAAAACATCAGGAAGATATGCATAACATAATATACTAATCAAATAAATACTATCACCTTTATATAAATATTGATTTAATCATATTCTAAGCTTATTTACCTTCTCTAAAGGGATGTCTGCTTTAATAAATGCACAAATTAAATTATTGATTATGTTTTTCTTTGATTCATTTGCATTAAGAATGAAATTCAGAGTAGGTTGTCTTGTTTGATTTTTGGTAGCAGCTATATTTTTTTTTGTTTTATGTCCATTTGTCTTGATGTAAGTCTTAATATTTGTCCTGATTCTCCAATTCACAGAGTGGAAACAGAAATGGCACATTAAAAGTTCAGAATCAATCACAAAATCCTCTGAAAATTCTTGTGTATGAGAATATACTGAAACATGTTTGGATAGCATTTGATAAAAAAAAAAAAAACTATTTTTTAATATGAGGCTTTTGGAATAGTGACCTTTTGTTTGAAGTTTCTCAGAAATTATTTCAACAAAATGCGTATACATTTTTTTTTTTTTTAAAAAAAAAAGTCAAATGATAATTATAATCGCTTGTTCAAAATTCTAAATATGGCCAGGATTATTATAATTCTGACCGTCATATGTAGCATGATGTTGCACAACATAAAAGTTTTAAAAAATATCGATTTATCTACAATTTCACTTAAAAATATCGATTTACATATGATCAATGCAAATCGATAATATTTACCATTCCTGCTGCTAAAACACTAAACTAACTATTCACGTGACTTGAACTGTCCCTAAGAACTGTCTGTAGATTGTTCAGTTTTATGAAGATTGAAAATATTGACTTACAAATAACCATATTGAATTTATGACCAAATTGTAAATGTATTAGCTTTCAGAAATTCAAAAAAAACTTAAACATTACAGAAAAGATTTAACAGAGAAAGAATTACAGGCATGTGCTAATATAACAACAATTCTGATTAAGATATATTTAACACAAATGATATATTCAATGGTAACAAGCCTTATATTATAAATCAAAATATTCCTACTTCTGTTTTTACTCTGATGAATTCTAATACATGAAAATTTTAAATTACAATCGAGAATAACATCAAGCAAAGACCGTGGAAATATGGACTTTGAAGTATTGAATACTGTTGATGAGGTCTTAGGAAATGAGACTGACGATAATTAGCTTTACAAAATATATAAAAACAATACAATTTATTGTTTTATTGTAAGCAAAGTGTTAAAAATATAAACAGTATAAACCTGTCACGTAGGTTTTGTCAGGAGTATTCTTGGCATCACTTGTACTAGGGTCGTTGTTTGACATGTCTCGGCGGTCTTGGCTATAAACAAACCCCAAAAAAACAAATTGCTTTTATAAAAAATTAAAATCAACAAAATAATTTTGATATCTTATAAATATATTATATAGCTATAAAAAATATATACGTATCATTTGTTTAAATAAAGGTTAATAAAGTTTTTGACGCAAGTATACGTACGTAGCTTGGCGGATCGTTATTTAGATCCAATCAAAATTGCGGCTTTAATTGATAAGAATAATATATTGTTAACTGTATATTTCGTACAACAGTAGACTATTTACCGTTACTAAAAATATACAAAGTTCAATTTATAGTGTTTTTTCCGATTAAAAAGCAAGTCGAAAAAATTAGAACAGAATAACTGGCGATGGATTATATATAAGAATTTACACACTCACTTTTACAAAAAGAAATATAGAAAGTCATATAAACATTAATATGTTCATTAACATGTTACCTTTGTTTACGGACACACATTCTTTTAAGGACTTGCGAGAGAGATTCTTTGCCTCACGGTTAGCAAAGAAATGCTTGTTTCCTTCCTTATATAAGCGCGATTGGTCGAGATATGATCTTCAATACGTTTTTTTACTCATATTAGGTTTACTTCTTTTATATATTATTGATTCACCTGGAGTTTGGATCAAATCTTTTATTGTCTGTATATTTGCAACTGGACTTTATCTTCCAAGCACAAGAATTTTTTTTCTTCCATTTCTTCCTATTGCTTGTTGGTTGGTTTTGTTCTATTCTTGTAGATTTATTCCCGAGTCAAAAAGACCTCATATTTATGTATCGGTATTACCAGCCCTGGAAAATATTCTATACGGTGATAATTTATCTGCTATCATTTCAATGCATACAAATGTTTTCAAAGATGTCTTGGCTTGGCTACCGTATGGTGTACTTCACTTTATGTTACCATTTTTCACTAGTCTATGGCTTTGGTGGTTTGGACCTCCTGGGATCCTAGCTGTTTTTGCAAGGGCTTTTGGTTATATGAACCTTGCTGGTGTGTTGACTCAATTAGCATTTCCTTGCTCTCCACCTTGTAAGTGTTTAATAATATACTACAATTTGGGTCAATCATCAAAATAATCAATTGTCTTTAATAGGGTATGAATACGTTTATGGAATGAATACTCCTGCTTCATACTCAATGCCAGGTCATGCTGGGGGGTTGATTCGTATTGATGAGTTGTTCAACTTTAATACATATGAAACTGCATTTAATGGTTCTCCAATGGTGTTTGGTGCTTTTCCTTCTTTACACTCTGCATGTGCAATTATTCAAACTCTTTTTATTTCTTACACTTTACCAAAATCTCGTCCTTTATGTTTGACTTACGTGTTTTGGATTTGGTGGGCCTGTATGTATTTGACACATCATTATATGGTTGATTTAGTTGGAGGTGGTGTTTATGCTATCGTGGCTTTCTGGTTTGCTTGGGATTGGTTGCCACCTGTTAATATCACTGGTAATTCTGATGATTCTGATGATAATGTTGATGGTACTTTATTAATACAAAACAATAATAGCAGTGTTTCGATACCTTGCATTGAACCTAATGTTAAACTTTTTAATTCCGATTGTAATGAATTTAAAGTTGAGATTGCTAGTATTAGTATGTGATAAAAAAAAATTGATAAAATTATATTAAATATTGTAAACTATACTTAGAAATGTAGTATTTGCAGTGTATTACGTAATTTACGTAAAACAACGTATATCTGATATAGTAAAGATTTGCAAAAATAAATAAATCATTAATATTTTATAACTTGGTAATTCAAATTTAACAATTTTGATACCATCTGAACCATCTCATCGAAACGAATCGAATAGTATCAAAATCGTTAAATTTGAATTACTAAATCACAAGATATTTAAATTTAATAAAAATTTTACCTAATTAATATTTAGTGATTTTATTTTAATGCTTTTGGTATCATTCAATTTATTTTAATGAAATGGTTTGAATGGTATCAAAACCATTAAATTTGGATTACTAGATTATATGACATTTTTAAATATTTTGCTATTCAGTAATTCAAATTTAACAATTTTGATATTATTTGATTTATCTCAATAAGATAATATAAATAGTATTAAATTTATTAAATTTAGATTATTATATTATTAAATACTTATAAAATATAATTTATAATATAATAAAATACAAAAATTCAAGAGTGCAATATCTTAGTGTAGTGAATAAGTTGTTACTTTTTTAAGTGACAAATTGTAAGTTCAAAACCTATTGATGATAAAAATTTAAAAAATTATTTATATTATAACAATTATTTTTTGTTAATTAGTTAAGATAAAGATATATACAAAATGAAGATATAGTAGTTCATTTTACTATATAGCAGCAGACAAATAGTTTAAGATAGTAATAGTATATGAATTAATTTTTTATTAACAATACAAATAATGATAACCTTGTTTGTAGAAATTACTCTAAAAGAAGAATATCATATTTTACAATTAAAAGATCATTATATTTAGATTGAAGTGTAAAAACTTAAAATTGGTTAGAAAAAGGAAAATATATTTTTTATATATCTTTTTACTTAGTAAAAATAATAAAAATTTATACAGTAGGGTGTAGTAATCTAATGAAGTAGTCAGGTTGTTAATTTCCAAATAGCAAGTCTAGAGTTCAAATTCTATAGATAATGAATTTTAGAAAATAGGTTTGTGTTATGGTAACTGTCTTTGTCGATTAGTTGGATTAGTATATTTGTAATCTTTAGTTGCACTATCTCAAATAGGAACTTGGGCATCTATGCTAAGTATAACATTATACCTATATAGAAGAATATAATAACTGGTATTATATAAGATTTTAATGAAACCTACAATAAGACTACTAGACATAGAAAGTGATAAAACTGAAGAGTCAGAAACCTACTTGAAAATCCTAAGTAAAAAGGTAGTACAAAACTTTTAACAATACTATCAAACTGATAGAAATCTATAAAATACTTTTAAAGAAATAAGTAGATAAACTGAATGACAAGATATATAGAGAAGCATATGATCAACTAAGTTGCTAGAATTAGCAAAAGAAAAGAATACTAAGGTATACTATATCAAATCATCTGGATTGAAAGTTTAAAGAATTTTGTTAGTTCTAAGTAACTATTAGTAGAAAATGATGATAAAGATGCAGAAAGATGAGTATCAAGATTTTGGGTAAACCTTACAAAAGTAAAAATAGTTTAATAATTAGTTTTGACTATAAGTAATGGTTTAGACCAAAGTGATATCAGATGTGCTGTAAGTATAGAATACAAAACATACTGATAAGTTTAATATAAAGTTAAATATAACTTAGTAACTATAATATATTTTTATCAGTTTACTAGAATTATTGGTAAGATGTGGTGAATACAGAATTAGAGTGTTTAAATAAAGGATTTACAGGTGGGTTCTAGATATGACAGCTAGTATAAAACCTTCAGATGAACTACTTAATTAGACAATGACTAAAGTTGTATGAATAGCTAGTTATATATACTTTTTATGATTGCTCTCTGTAGTTGTAATGCAACTATTAACTAAATATATTATTAATAAAATTCTAAGTCACAAATACTCATCTTAATATTTAAAAAAAAACAATTTATATATCTAACTAAAACTAAAATAGTAAAGACTAAAAACAAAAAGTTTTATAATAATCAATACTTTATATATTACTGATTAAATAGCTTTATATTCAAAAAAGAATACATATTTTAATTCAAAACAATTTACAATTATATATTTACAATATACTTAATCATTTAAATAAAGTTATTATAATAAATCTGTTTTTTAAACATAATTACAAGTTTAAAATTATCTTAGCATACTTATTAACTATAAATAATTCAACATAATAACAAACTTAATTAACTATTATTACATGAATACAACAAGACTTGTAACAACAATTGCATATTATTGTTTTTAGTAATTTTAACTCTGCAACTCTAACTACTATTTTTAATATAATTAAATACCAACTTTTCAATTATCTGAATAGTACTAATATATATAACCTAGCTAGCTATACTAAAAATATAGATATTATTTAATAAAATAATAGATATTATAACAGAATTGACTATATATAAGTTAGTAAATATATAGTTTTTTTTTTAATATATTTTATATAAATGACTTATTAAAAGCTACTTATAATAACTACTAAATTCTTATATTACAATGAACTTTTCCTTTTATAATTAAATTTAAATAGAAAAATAAATACAAAAAAAAAACTTTTAATTATCAAGCAATAACAAAAAAAAAAAAATTTATAAACCAAATTAATATCAATATGTAAAAAAATATTATTAGATTATATATATTAAATATAGATTTACTAAAAAAATCTGATACAAAATATATATATTTATTATATATATTGCTTTTTAATATAGATTTAATATTACAAAGTTTAAGCTCATACAGATAATACCTTCAATAACATGACTGACTCTTTAACAAAACAACATATCTTCTTTCTGCTTTTAAACTTTTAATATATAAATATTTACAACTCTTTTTATATTTTACAATAAGAATAAAATTCTGTTAACTTCCCTATCTAATACTTTATTAAAAATATTTGTAAAGCCTATATATTAACAATATAGTCCTTATAAAAAAGAAACAATGAATAGTTTCATATTAATTACTATATAGACTGGCAATCAATATAACTATATCTCAATCATAACCAAAAACCTTTATCTAATTTTACTAGTTTCAAACTCAATCAATCCAAAGTTTTTAAAATCAAAGCTCTACTAAATAAACTACCAATATATTTTTCTTTTTACAATATATATTCAACTATTTTTACAAATACTAACTGCTTTTAATATAATTTTCCTGATTTTTACTCATACTAACCAACTTGTCTCAACTCTTCTCTTATTACAAACATTATTAATTTATTAATTTAATATATTTTAATCAAAACAGATCTCAATTTATCTACTAGTCAACTTTATGAATTTATTCAAAAAATTTAAAAACATTCTTTATTTGACTGAATACTATTTTAAACAAACTCTTTTTATCTTAACTTTATTTTTAAAGATCTTATACCTAAAGCCTTAATTAAAACAATTCATAACTACAATATACTAACTAAAATAGTTTTACAAATCATTATTTAAACACCTTTTAATATTAATAATCAAATTTATAACCAAATATAGAAACCATACTGCATTGACCTCTCTAACTAAAAAAAGAATAACAATATTATATTCTTTTAAACTCATAATATTTACAATACTTCACAACAAATATAATAAACAAGACATTATAAAAGATTATATACAAACTATACATACTTATGTTTATATAAAATAGCAAATCAATTACATTTACATCCTAATACTTGTTTACCAATTAGACAGACTATTAGAAAAATCAATATATGCTTAATACTTTGGATTAATAATAGCACATCTTACAATTATATTCTAACATTACAAATCTAAATAGACCTTGACTACTATAGTCAGTTTAGGTTGCAAATAAAGTCATTTGAGCTTTAATTCTTTATGTAGTTTTTATTTTGTATTTTATAAGCTTAGTATATCTTTAATATATAGTATATTAATATGTACAATTAAAATTACTAATAAAGATATAAGCAAGGCCTTATCTTAATACCAAAAAATATATATATATATACTTAATAAATAGAAATATAGTAACTTAGTGAAGTGAATAAGTTGGTAACCTTTCAAGTAATAGATTGTAAGTTTAAAAACCTATTAATAATAAAAATTTGAATAATCATCTATATAATATTTATATTATAGCAACTATTTTTAATAATTGAATTAAAATATTTGTAATAATAATTACATCAATATAATTGGCAGATTATAAAGCATTTGTATAACTAGTTATACAGGAAATGCAAACTGGCATCAAACAATACAAACTTTAAATAAGTTTTTATATAATCATCTTTTTATATAATCATTTTTTATATAATTATATTATATGTAATTACATTTATTTTTTTTATTTTTATTTTATTTTTTTGAGTTAAAGTCCCTGTCTCTGGGAGTTGATGTTTTTATTCATGTATTTGAACACGGGTGCCTTCAGGGGCTCCCTTACATAGGAGGTTACAACTAGCCACACATGCACTTTTGGTGCCTAATTTAAGTAGTCCGCCTATA